TGTGTGTGTGTGTGTGTGTGTGTGTGTGTGTGTGTGTGTGTGTGTGTGTGTTGAATAAAATGGCTAAATGATTATGACTCTCCATGACAGCTGCGATACCCGACAGGCAAGACTTCTTAAAATGCTCATCCTCCAGTCTTCAGGAGGGTTGAAGTTCAAGGACTTCACTGCCTTTTATCGATCAGAGTGCCCCAGATTGTGGAGACTTCTGAGACTCTAGAGGGGCTCTCCATCTCCTTAGGGCATGTTCTCACCTATGTGTATCTCTCACACTAGGACACAGGGACCTGGATTTGGGTAAGGGGCATTTAGGCTTGGGTTCCTTTGGGTCTTAAGGCTTCATTTTCTTATCATGGTACATGTTTGCTGATCACATCTGACAGACTCGTTAACTCAGAATCAAGTTATCATAAAGTGGAGCAAAAGCTCATGATTAATAGCAAAAGTTCTATCCTTTACACTCTTCTTTCATTGGGATATGAAATAAATTCCAGTGGAAAGAACCCTCATAATTGTGAAATTTAGGGCTTCATGGGGGTCCAGGGGGAGAAAAGTGGTGGCAATCAAGAGGAAAGATGTTCTGATATAATCTCTTAGATAATTTCAATTTTCCTTCTCCCAAGTCTCCCTTTAAAGATACATGTGCTCATGTGTGCATGTGCATGCATGCACATGGGATGCACACATGAGTGCACACATACACAGAGTGATTAACACAATCTCCTGAATATTGGATGAATAAACTCATTGGGCACTAGAACTTGACTGTTAGATAAAGTATTTGTTAAATTCTCTTTTCTCTGCATTCTAGCCAGGAGAGGAACTTCTGCCAAATGATGCTAGTGGAAAAATTATTTTAGAAACAGTGGACATTCGTGATACATGGGAGGTAGGTACTACTGCAGACACCCTAAGGCACTGTGTGACAACAGAGGAACCAATTAATAAAGAATTAGAAGACACAGGTTTTGTTTCATTAATTGACAAACCTAAGACATATAATGCCTAGTTTTATAGTAACTTACTATGCTGTGTTGAGTTGATAACCCTGGGAAGCCTGATCATTTCTGTAGGGAAATGGAGGAGGAGTGGATCTGTGGGAGAGGGGAGTTGGGGAGGAGGAACTAGGAAGAGTGGATGGAGAGGAAACTATGGTTGGGATATAATATATGAGAGAATAACAAACAACAACAACAAACCCTTCAATGTCAGTAATTTCATCTGTAGAGTATGAGTTGAGAGGGATGAACTTTAAATTTTAATATCAACTCTGATTTGAGGTAGACATTTCATTGCCTCATAGATCCAATCAACAAAAATCCATTTAAAGGGGATTAGCAGAAAGAAACTCAAGAAAGGTTATGACACTATTCCAGGACAGAAAAACACACCTTTTCAGAAGTGTAATCTGCCTTAGCACAGAGCAAGTTGTAATTGAGAATGAAACCTGCCATTATATATCCTATCTAATATACTCACAGTTTTTCAACATTATAGAAAAAAAGTAAGAATACATTTTTAACTAGCATAAGATCCAAGAATTCTTTGTCTTTGACTATGATGGCATTTATTGAAGAACCTCGCATGCCTGACATCAAAACAGATGCCACTAAAAAGGGTAGGAGAAGTAAGGGGAGACTAATGTATGTTTGTTGTTCTCAATGTGCATGAAATTGAATGAGCAGACAAATATGTATTCATTGCAGGTAAGTGCATAAGGCAAGGCTGAATTCAAGTGACAACATTGTTTTGAAATTGTAACGGAAATTATGTAAGTAAATGAAATTATTATGTAAGTAACTGAAATTATTACGTAAGTGTTCAAACAAGCCCAAGGGAAAACTACAAAGCACAGAGTGAGTTGAGGATTAACTAGATATTTTTCTTCTTCCCTAGGCCCTGGAGAAGTGTAAAGACTCAGGTTTAACCAAGTCCATAGGGGTGTCCAATTTCAACCACAAACAGCTGGAATTGATTCTGAACAAACCAGGGCTAAAATACAAACCCACTTGCAACCAAGTAAGCTCTTAGTCCACCTTGGCTATCCCTTATCTTTTGTTCTTCACAAGCTTCTTCCTTACTTGTTACTTTCCAAATTTCTGCTTTGAACCAGCTATTTGGGTTATAGCTATTTACATTGAGATAGGGAATATCAGTGATGGTTCAGGTTGACTAGAGTGGGAAGAACAAGACAGGGGAAAGGCTGCTTGATTGACTAAAATCACTGCTCTTCTTAGAAGGAATACCACTGCTCAACAACACTCACAATGTGTGCTGTACTGAAAATCATATAAAATGTTAAAAACATAAAGAAGATTGAAATGAAGCACAGCAAAATTGTATTGTTGTATTGTTCTGCTGCCACTCTGGAAATTTGTGGTGGCTTCTTTCCTAAATTTAGGTGGAACGCATTTTTAAAAAAACTCTTACCTTTAACAGAATTTAAAGATACAAAGGGCACTGAGAATTGAGTTACTACAACCTTCCTTCACCAGTATCCACGAACACACTCAACAATTTCTCTTTTATACAAATTTGTTATATACAATTTTGAGGTATTTTAGGGCAGGCATTATGCAATTTTTAGCCCATATTTTAAAAATACATGATTAAAAATATCATTGCTAGAATACCGTTAAAGCACCCACACTTTGAGCAATGATCGGTATCATATGATCATGTCTTTTTATTTCCTTGATACTTGGGACTGTACCAGAGGCAAGTTGGAAATGGGAAATTTTAATCTTAAAATACTAATAAAAAGACATAAAAAGTATCTCAGGGAAAAATGACCTATTTGAAGCATATTTTACTTAAGTCAGTATAGAAGTAGATCTGCCCTTGAGGCACTTGTAAAACCTGCATGACATTGTTGGCTCATACATTCTGATACCATTTTGTTTTGGAAATTTACAGGTAGAATGTCACCCGTATCTCAATCAGAGCAAACTTCTGGAATTCTGCAAATCCAAAGACATTGTTCTAGTTGCCTACAGTGCCCTGGGATCCCACAGAGACCCAAACTGGTAATTGGACTTTATTTCCTTATGTCAATACTTCCGTGGTGACAAAGAATTAACTTTTAATCTTGTGGAAAGTTCAACCATGAAGAAACAAGTTGAGTAATGCAGCAGTTCCTATGCACCAGAGTTGAGCTTCAAGCTCACTAAGTAGTCTTTTATTCTTGCTTTATCTGTCTACCTGTTTCCAGCACTAATAAGCATAGCTCTAAAAGGAATTTTAAGGCATAATTTATAGAGATTAGACTGCATATATCCTAGCTATTCCATTTTGACTATTGGGTAGAATGTAAAACCTACATTTGTATGAATAATATAAACCCAGAGGCAGATATTGGGGTTCAAGCTGAAGATCAGAGAAACAAAGCAGCCAAGCCAACTGAGAGCTCTTACCTCTCCCAAGGCTAGAGCAATACTGTCCTCAGCGTGACTGGAGACTAATTGCCTGCTATATTCTGTATGAGATCCTGAGCTTCTTCTTATATACCTCTCTAGTGCTGGGATTAAAGGCATGAGCTCTGTTTCTCTTTTAGACTGATTCACTCTCATGTAGCCCTGGATGGCCTTGAACTCCCAGAGATCTATCTGCCTCTGTTTCCTGAATCTTGGGATTAAAGGTATGGTCACCACTGCCTGGCCTCTATGGCTGTGGCTAGCTTTGTGTTCTGATCTCCAGGCAAGCTTTATTAGATCATAAACAATATATCACCACACAAATTCACATCATTTCTATATGAACTCTCTTATTTTTACAACATTGACTATTTGATTTAGGAGGGACTTAGAACCATCTTCTCTCATAATATCAGATGATGTTATACAGAATCCAAAAGAGAGAATTCCCGGGAGAAAATATGACTGTCTTTCCAAGTGGTGATATTGACTTACAGGGTATCTAACATGCTATTAAAGACTTTTTAAAGAATATATTCAACTGAAGTCATGAGAATATAGCTGTATGTGCATGGATAAGCTAAAAAATCCATAGGCTTAGGAAACTTAAACTGCCCTTACATTTATCAGGGAATTCTGAGTTCTATTTGTAGATGCAGAGATAGCAGGTTTGTATAAGCATGCGTTAGTTGATTTTTTTTTCCGTCAACTTGACACAAATCTGGTAAGAAAGAAAAAGCTCCATGGGGGAATCTTCAAAGTCTGTCATATCATTTGAAGCCGGGCCTAGACCCTCCCTAGTTTGTCTAGGCTGAGAGAGTAACCCTCTATGTGGAGAGGGCTCCCAAAGTTCATTGGTGTACTAGGGGTAAATACTGATCCACTACCAGTGGCCCCACAGATTGTCCAGACCTCCAAACTGACTTCCTCCTTCAGGGGGTCTGGAACAGTCCTATGCTTGTTTCCCAGCTATTAGTCTTGTTCAGGTCAGCTGTTTCTGTGGGTTTCTCCAGCCTGGTCTTGACCCCTTCGCTTATCCCTCCTCCCTCTCTGCAACTGGATTCCAGAGTTCAGTTCAGTGTTTATCTGTGGGTGTCTGTGTCTGCTTCCATCAGCTACTGGATGAAAGCGCTAGGTTGTTGCTAGGAGTCTTAGCTGGGGACATCCTTGTATATTCTTGACAATTTCTCTAGCATCAGGTTTCTTCCTAACCCCATAATGGCTCTCTCTCAAGGTATCTCGTTCAGCAATTCTTATTTTTTAAATTTCATATTATTCTAAGTAACTTGATAAAAATCACATGCTACATATGATGAGAATTATTCTTTTCTAGTGTTTCCTTATCAAATCTACTCTGTGCTTGCTAGTTATTTGTTGTTTGGTTTATCAGGACAACCATTATAGCATGGCATAACTTGCATTCAAATAACCCTTATTTTAATCAATAAAGGCCCCAAAGCATGAGAATAGTGCTACTTGAAATTTGGATAGGGCAAAGAGAAGTACTTACTTCATATGAAAATGGGAAAGTTCTCAGAGTAATAAAAGAGAAAATTTATACGCTGAGCTTTCTAAGATAAATGGTAAGAATGCATCTTCTATCCCTGAAATGTCAAGAAGGAAAAGGAAATTCATGCTAGCTTTGTTATATCACCAAGCATAAGATTCACTAATGGAAGCTGGAGAAAGTATCACTTCACACACATGTATACTGCACATAGGACTATTCCAAGACCATCTGAGGAGAAAAGAGAGTATCTGTATTACTGAAATATTCCATTACATTGACACCTGTCCTGCACAGCATTTATCTTCTCATCTTAGTTGTTTACAATTGCTATAAAATAGAGCCTTTACGCAGTAGCTGATGGAAGCAGAAGCAGAGACTCACAGCTAAGCATGAGCTGAACTCCTGGAATCCAGTTGTAGAGAAAGAGGAGGGATGAACAAAAGGGTCAAGACCATGCTGGGGAAACCCACGGAAACAGCTGACCTGAGCAAGTGGGAACTCATGGGCCCCAGTCTGACAGCTGGGGAACCAGCATAGGACTGAACCAGGCTCCCTGAATGTGGGTGGCAGTTAGGAGGCCTGGGCAGTCTATGGGGCCTCTGGCAGTGGAACCAGTATTTATCCCTAGTGTATGAATGAACTTTGGGAGCCCATTTCCTATGGAGGGATACACTCTCAGCCTGGGTACACTGGGGAGGGCCTAAACCCTGCCCCAAATGATGAGACAGACTTTGATGATTCCCCCCATGGAAGACCTCATCCTCCCTAGAGAGTGGATGGGGTGGGAGGGGGGTTGGTGGGGGGCATGGGAGGATGGAAGGGAAAGGGAACTGGGATTGATATGTAAAATAAGATTGTTTCTAATTTAAATAAAAAATGAAGGAAGAAAAAATGCACATTCAAAGCTGAGAGATGAGACTGGAGACAAATATTTGCCATCTCTGTTTGAGTATGTTTTGTGTATTTTTTTTCAGGATCGACAGTGATAGCCCATACCTTCTGGAGGAGCCTATCTTAAAGACCATTGCCAAGAAACATAACCGAACTCCAGGCCAAGTTGCCCTGCGCTACCTGCTACAGAGGGGTGTGGTGGTTTTGGCCAAGAGCTTCAATGAGAAGAGAATCAAAGAGAACTTCCAGGTAAAAGCCCAAGAGCATTTCTCCAGAATGAGACCTGGGACAATTTCCTTCCAATAGGAGTTCTGGTTATTTATTCACTCTCATGTATTGTCCCTGTGTGCTATAGACAGCAGCTTGAAAGGACAGCAGAGAAAGCACTGGGTAAAAAGCTGGTGGGTAAAAGATGGGGTCTCCTTCACACTAAGCTTTGCCTTTTACAAGTTCTTTAACAAGATGTATTACAGCTCTATTACTTCAAGTGGTTGTGGGAGTCCTTTCAGATGGCAGAGAAGTTTAAAAACCTTCATTTCTGTTCTTTACATTCTCTGCTTTACAAATCCCTGATTGCATTAAGTACAACAATTTGGGTTAATATTAAATCCAAATAAAATGGCTGGTTGGTTAAACCACTGGACTATTCCAATACATTTTTACTTTTTGCTCCCTATAGTACTGGGCATGGTTCTGTGAGAGTTTTTCATTAACTTAGAATTATTTAGTTACATGCCTGTGTGCTTTCTGAAGTATGGGATGTTACATATGGCCATTTCCACTTTATCAATGGTGTTTCTCTTGGCAGTAAAGGAGCTAAATAAATTTATAGACTGACCATATAAAGAAATCAATGATTAAAATTATTTCTTAAATTCTTTCTCGTATATGCACTAGCTAGTCTCTCATACCAATAAGTGTTTTTTTTTTCATTTGTCTTGTTTAGAATCTTGTAAGGTTAAAAAAATTACCCTTTTGTTTAGTTTCTGTATGTATTTGTGTTTGAGGACATACTCACCAGCACACAGTGGGTGGCCAGAGGATTAGTTGTGGGAGTTGTTCCTCTCCATCTACCAAGTGGATCTCAGGGGTGGAATGAAGTGTCAGCAGGCACCATTACCTGCTGCTGATTTCAAGTAGAAATATGCTCCATAGACTCACGTATTTGAATAGTTTTAAGATGACAGCTAAAAATTTCAGTAGTATAATATTTATAAAAGTAATCGAGGCAGCTGGTCACATTGTATCCAGAGTCAAAAAGTAAAGAGGCTTGAATGCTTGAATGCATGCTCAGCTCTTCTCTGCTTTGTGCAGTTCAAGATCCCTGCTCAGGGAATGGTCCTACCCACAATTAGGATGGGTCTTCTCAAGCCAGGCAGTGGTGGCGCACGCCTTTGATCCCAGCACTTGGGAGGCAGAGGCAGGCAGATCTCTTCTAGTTTGAGGCCAGCCTGGTCTACAGAGCGAATTCAGGGACAACTAGGGCTGTTACACAGAGAGACCCTGTCTAGAATAAAAAAAAGGTCATCTCATATCAGTTACCATAATCAAGATAATCCTCACAAGAATACCCTATGATTCATCTCACTGATAATTCTAGATTCTGTCAAGTTGAGTTAACATTAACCATCACATCTGCCACTGTTTTTTTTTTTTTTTTTGTTTTTTTCTCTTTTTCCTTGGGCAGAAGGAGAAGAGCCAAAAAAGAAACTTTTTTTTTCCTGAAGGGGAAAGA